TGTGATAACCGACACAAAGAGCACTGGACACAGCTTTTCTGTCCTGTTTTGTGGACTCGTTAGCAATACGCATATTTTTTGTGTCAGGACTTAAATCGCAAACCTTTGGAGGTGAGGACTTTAAACCCCTGGCCCTGAGCTACACGGTCGATGGTCATCACCTTGTGCGAATAGCTCAATCAATTTTAGAGTAGCAAGCTTAGCTTTGCCTTGGTGACGCTTCTCCTTTCACCTGTTCCCCGATTTACAAGTGTTTATTTTGTGATCCTTGCCCAAACCCTATACAAACATTGCATTTGTCTGCAGTAGGCACCAGCTGAGATGCAGTAAAATCGTCCAGGACATGTACTATTGCTATTCTTGCTTCGCTTTTCAAACTTGAATTAACCATCAAGCGTGCCTGGTGCCTCTGAACAATCGAATGTCCTAATGCAAGCTTGCTACTCTAAAGATAAGTTAAATTTATTTTTCCAAATAAAGTGGCAAACGGAGTGAAATGTGGAAATAAATCGAGAAAACAGATGAATTCTAACCGTTAAATCTTCGTTGAGATGCTGACGTGGGGCTTGATGTTCATAAATATACCGGGAATTTAGTCGGATAAAAGTCCACATGGCGTGCCAGAATCCATAACTGTGGTTTTTATTCACTTTCAGTGATTCGAGTAATGATGATGGTATGAGATTCTGACTGTCTGTGTGCGTGTGTGCGTGCCCTCTGCTCCACCGGAAAAAAAGATCTCGGTCTAGTGGTGGTATCATGAGCGTTCCAGACCTCGAAAGCGGTGAAGAAGAGTCAACGTTTCACACAGACGCACAATCACACGGTCAGAATCTCACACCATCATCATTACTCGCATCACTGAAAGTGAATAAAAACTCATTTCAAATGATTAATGATCTTCATCAGCATTTTACTTCCTTTCATTGATAAAAAATTTATGACCCACCATCGGTGAAAGATGATGGAGTAACTGGAATTATCAGTAGAAATGTACTGTTGTGGAATAGTGTCAACGGTGATGGGATTCGATTAGACAATTCACGTACCGACCGGAGTCGAACAGATTCTGCTTTCCTCCAAGCAGGGGAAAGTTTTCTCGCTACTGAATGAATATAATCACATACGCTCGTAACACGTTCGAATATCAATTCCAGTCATTTTATCCTATTTTTATATTGTTTCTTTATACGATTTTCTCAGTTAGTCCGATTTTAATTCCCCTGTCTGCCGATTACCAAATTTTCGATGGCATCACACGATTTGTGTCAACATCAAATACGGAAAGGAGTTCGATAAAACCCAAACATGGCAGATGTCCCGAACGTCCGCTCCGATTGACGAGGAATATCTGTGTTTTTGACTGTATCGAAGCTCCGGAAAGCTACAAAAAGCTTCCAGCTGAAACAAAACCGTACTTGTGAAAGTGGGAGAAAGAAGAGGGAGCACAATATTGTCCAGGTGCGAAAAAACCCGAATTAGTTCATCACTCAGAATTCGGACGAGTCGGGGTGTGTGAAAGGGTATCTGTGACCACATAAATTGGTAGTTGGAGCAGGTGGGATTTTGCATGCTGATAGCTCGTTGTGTAACCGGGGCTTTGGGGTCTTTCAGAAGAATCAAGGTGTGCAAACGTTTCGCATCCAAAACAATTTTTTCGTTTATCGGACTTGGCTAGGGATTTAAAGTGATTGGATTTGAAGCCGGAAGGCAACCGTGTGCATGATTATTCCCGGCTGCTTGGGAACAAACGTCCATCGTTAATATGTTCCATGGTTTTTTTTCTAATTTGATTTGGTTTTATTTCCAAGAATGCAACACACCCGTTTATGGACATTTTTGTTTTGTTTTCTAACTGATGTAAAACGAATTGGAGAAAACAGTAGAAGCTAACAGTATTTTTTCATTGCGAACTAGTTAATCAAAGCCCGCATGTGTTGACTTATCTGTTGATTTATGCGCGGTCGTGACAATTTCGGATGTTGATGAGGAAAATGCAGCCCGGATGCTCCCGACCACCGCATTGGTTGGAGTTATTCCCCCGACCCGCATTTAGGAACTTAAAGTACTTAAATTAAATAAGAAGGGACACAGACGTTCACGAGTTCGTTCACCTATTCGTGAGTTTGTTATTTCGTGTAGGAATTGTGTTTTGCTTTGTTGGTTTGAGTACGTCATGAAATGTTGGCATTTTCTGTT